AGGGTGTGGAATCACCTCCCTGAACCCTAGAGGGTGGCTGGGACACCTCTTAGTACCAACACATTCTCCTGATGCCTCCAAGATTCAGAGGTATAACAAGGAGGATAAAAGGCAACTAATAGGCTGTCATATTCATGACCAAATTACCTACATGTGCCTCCATCCATCTTCCCGACTCTGCAGTTCACCCTCCTCCATCTGTAGGGAGGAACTCAATCAGCACTTCAAGGAGGACACAAACTTGTCAACTCTTCAGCCAGTGGGAGCTTTTGCCCCCATCTTACCCTGTCAAGAACAGAAACCCTGCATGCTCACATAAGAAATAGGGGTGGATCTGATGACCTCCTCCTTGAGCATTAGATGCAAACATAAGCCAACTTTGTGCATCATCCATAGGGTTCATCATGCATACTTCACACCTGCTGTGAATGAATTCATTAGACTGATCTGTCTTCATGGCGACAGTAGCAGAGCAGGGTACAACCTGTCATCAAGCATTTTCAAATTCTTTTGAAGTGTTATGAGTAAGAAAACATGACCTTTTCCTAGGATTCCCATAGGATTTCTTCTGTTTCTTATTGTCCTTTTTTTTTTTTTCCTCCCTGCAATGCTTTCAGTGTTGGATATGCACAAAGTCATTAGCATTTCTAGAAGACCATTATAATCATCAGCCAAGGAAGAATTAATTGCATTAGAGTATTTACATGAATGACTGAGCACCTCCTTCAAGTTCTCCTGTGGGTCAGTGCAGAGCTGGGCATGATTTCACCATCAGCAAGGAGGCAAGAGAATCATAAAATGGCTTAGATTGGAAGGGGCCTTAAAGTTCATCTAGTTCCAACCCCCTGCCATCGGAGGTTCAGGCTAGATCAGGCTGCCCAGGGCCCCATCCAATCAGACTTTGAATGCCTCAGAGATGGAGCATGCACAACCTCCCTGGACAAGAGGAAGAAAGTTAGCAAAGCTCCTCTTCAGGAGAAGAATCCGGGTGAGCCAGACCTTCCCAAACCATGGGATATTCGGTCTCATTGACCAACACTTCTAACACTTTTTTGTGGGAGGATCAGAATGGAAGGTGACTCCTAAGAAATGTGCTAGCCTCAAAAGACCAGCAGCTACATGGCTATTACAAAAACTGGTCTCAACAGAAGGGCCAAAACTTTGATGATCGTGGGAAATACTCAACTTTCTCCATTCAAACCAGAGTGACTGGAAGACAGGTGAGAGATGCACTAGTGCATGGGGTGAATTAGCAACAAGACTCAGCAGGATAAATACTGGATAAGGCAGAGTTTGCTTTCAGGATTGCCTTTTTTGCACATCTCACCAATGTTTCCACACTTAAAGTCCAGATTAAACATACCAAGCTTGACCCCATGCATTTGAGCTGTCCCAGCCCTATTTGTGTGTGCAACAAGAGTCAAACTCCACAGAAACCCGCAACCCAAAATTCACCACTACCTGTTCAGTCCCTCAGCTCCAACTCCTTTCTCCTCTGCTCCCCAGCACATCAGTTCCCAAGATTGTACCCTTTAAGTACAGCACAGGAACAAACAGTAACAGAGCCAGAATTCATGCTCTTCCTCTTCAGGGACAGCAACATTCAAAGCACAACTTCAAATTTGCATTTTGCAACCCTGTTTTTTGCAGAACAGTAAATCTGACCAGTAAACTTGAAAAGCCTCCAAATGGTTTTACTGCCTGGAGCAATCCTGCTAGAATATCTATCCTGGCAGCTTCACCATCATCTGCCCTTCACCTCTCAGGTGCTTCAGATGCCAAACTTTGCAGTGCCAAAGCTTAGGAGTATGCAATGGTGTTATTTGATAGCCCATCTTCACGCTTATTTTAGGCAATGGAACTTCTCACGCTTTTAAAAACTAGTCACTTTATTTTTGAGAAATATCTTGTACTTACTGGCTACTGTAAATATTATTTTTTTTTTCCCCTTATGGCATTTTGAATTTACTTACAGGGCTCTACAAAACAGAAGAAAACAGCACCTGAAATGATCGTGAAGGAATGATGATCTGTTAATTTTGCAAACAAAGCATGATGCACCCAACATGCAAGTGATTACACATGGAAACAAGCTACACATCAGTAAGTACTGTATTTTACCTCTCTTCACTTAATATAAATCCCTGATCTTTGCACTGCTCTGTTCCTCCATCGTTCAGTTGTTTGCTTTGGGAGATGTTCTTGTCCCATCTGCTTTAGACTTGCCCTTAGGATTCAGGAGCTCCAAGTCCATGATACCTTCTTCTATTTAATTAAAGAACAAAGAGCTCACGCCTTTGTTACAGTTGCCTCTTGGAGTTATTAAGAAATTAAGCACTTTTCTGAAGTTAATGATATACATCAAACTGCTCCATTACAATTAAAAACCTCAGCAGACCCAATGCAAAGGCATAGAGAAATCATGCACGGTCTGTATTGTTACTGCTATCAGGATAATAGAATCATTAAGGTTGGAAAACACCACTAAGATCACCAAGTCCAACAATCAATCCAACACTACATCCCTCAGTGCCACATCTCCATGGTTTCTGAACATCTGCAGGGACGGTAACTCCACCACCTTCCTGGGCAACCTGTGCCACTGTCTCACCACCCTTCCTGAGAAGAAGTTTTTCCTAATATCCAGCCTGACCCTTGTAAGGGAGTCCATCATTTTTAAGTACTAAGTCTTACTATGTTTTGTCACTGTCAGATCTCTCCTTTATCTACTTGAAAATGACAAGAGAAACTCATAGCATTAGGGAAGGGGTGTAGAGCAGGCAAGAGATAGCAATTGACCAACTCAGAGATTTGTCCAGCATCAGATCAGCTGCTGCCTCATTATTTATAGCCTCCCTGTTCCTTGGGCTTGTTTACTGCCCTTCCCTGAGGTGCTGGCGGGAGGAGAAACACTGACATTCAGGCCCAGATGCCTCAGAGCCTGACCTTTCCTTCTGAGAGCACATTTCAAGGGACGAAGTAACTGGGAAACTTTAGACCTTTACATCTACTGCCTCGCTGAAGGCCCATTCAAGCAGTAGGAAAGGATCTCTTAATTAGCCAGTAGATATACAGAGAGACAATTATAAAGTGGATCCATAGTTATTTTATGCCTGGAAAGAGAAGCAGATGAAGTCTAGCTCCAGTCTTGAGACAGAACAAGCACAGCAAAGACGTAATATCCAAATAGTCTCTGGTTTTCCATCAGCTAAGCTTTCTACAAGTTTGAACAGAGCTGTTTTGCAGCCTGTGAGAAATAAGCATTCAAATATTCTGGGCCATGTTTTCCAATTCCTCGTCCCATTCACTCCCGTAGAATCAAAGCTGGTTGAAAATAAGAAAAACCAGCCCAGAGCCTACTGCTCAGAGACAAATTGTGTGTTTCAGTAGTACTGTAGAAAAGAACAGATGACATGCAACAGCATGTTCCCTCTCTACCTAATTCAAACAAGTAGGATGGGGTCAGAAAAAGTTGCAGAGAAGCAACACCTCGAGGTGTGCTCCAAAGGCAGTGCATTAAGAACCCACACTGGGGTTTGAGGCCCTTTCAAATGAGCACCATCGACCTGCCAACAGGGTGATGAATTTGGAGAACAGAATAGGGCACAACCAGCCACCACACAGGGCCACAAGACATGGCTGTTACCTGCCAGGCTCTGGAAGCAGGCTTTACAGCTTGAGCAAGACTCATACATTACAGTAACCCCCATCCACTCCCCACCAGCATCTACAGCACGTGCACACCACATTACCCCAGGAGGAGGAACAACACCTCATAAAGTTAATATAATCGTGGAAAACTTTCCCCTGGCTGATTCAGATACCTCATAAAGAGCTGCATGCACCTGCTCCAAGCCAGTTCCCTTCCTGGTTTCTCCAGAGGGTTTCCATGCAATCTGCTTGCTTCCTGCTGTAGCCAACACCTGAATTACTGCAGCTGTTTCTGTTGAAACCACATGAGTTCCACGTGGACTGTAAGTGGAGAAACACACCCTGCAAATTAACCCTCCTTAGCACAGGTACCTCACACAAGCAGCCTTCAGAGCTTTGTTACGCCCTCCAAGCTGGCAGGATTTGATCAGTAAAACAAAAAGCTTCTGGCCACACTCTCCCAGACAACGTCAGGATGGAGTGAAAAGAAATCAGTCTGTACTCATGCAGGCACAACCCAGGGCTGCTTTGGGGATGCCTCCATGCTACAGTTCATGCACTGGTCTCACAGCTTGGCAGAGGAAGGGTTGAAAGAAAAGACTAGATGTTACCCATGACAACTTGAATCCTACCTCCATGATAAGTTGAAGCAGGGGACAAGGGTATCAGCAGGCAAAGATAATAGCAAAAAAAAAAAAAAAAAAAAAAAAAAGACTTTTCTTCCACATAAAAATATAAATAAATGTCAGAGAGCTTTCCCATTCCTAACACTTTAGGACAGCACAGGCAAGGATACTGCAATCTATATGCTGTCTCTACACTACAGAAATGTTATTATCCAGAAGGTCACTTCCATAAAGAGTTTATCATTAGATGGTTCCAGATAGGAGAGTCAGCTCATTAGAGTGCTGCGTGCCCCTGCAGACAGCTGCTTTGACCTCCTCTCAGATGCACAAGCAAGCTATAGAGCAATTTTTATAGCTGACTTTTCCAATACTTTTGGTTGAAGCTTGATTTCTCAGGCCTATTAGCTAAGGAGCTGAGTTTTCTGTCGCTTCTAGCTGCTTGCTCCAGAAAGTCTTCCACGTGCTGCTCCACCTCTCCCCAAACACCACTCACTCCCCTCTTACAGTCATTCTTCCCACCCCCCAATAAGAAGGAAAGTAGCAAGACAACCTCTTAAACTGAGCAAGCACAAGAAAAGCCCATTTTCCAGCTTTGCATCAGGCTCTCCCTCTTCTTGCTGTAGCCTGGTGCTTCTTTTCCTCATATTTATTGCTCAGAGTTGCAGGGCTTATGAAAACAGCTTTGTTTATGGAACTCCTGCATTAAAACCCTCAGAGATGCCATTGTTACAACATCTTCCTCAAATTTTATTCAATGCTTACAAAAAAATTAAATCCAGAACACATTGTAAATTGAAGCAGAAGCAGAATTATGTTGAGAGCCTTTGTGAGAAGGGGGTAGGAAGAAGAAACTTCAAGAGGAGCTCCTTACCTAGAGAAGGAGTGCTCACCCCCACCATGGGCAGCAGAGGGGAAGGCAGCAGCTTCTTGAAACAAAGCTGCTGCCACTGTCAACGCAGAAAAGTGACAGGAACATTATGGCATGGCTATTTAGTTGTGATTAAAGGATGATACGGGAACTAAATAAACAGGACTAAATTAAACAGTTTGATGTGCACATGGAGATGGAGGCCCCTCAAAGCAGATGTTGCAGTGCAACATCTTCACACAGCTGGCATTAGGAGGGTGGCACAGAATCTGCCCATCACTCTCCTTTCCAACACCAAATCCTCCACTGGGACTCTCATGAGTTCCCCCCCTCTCCAACCACCCAGAGCCAGAAGCTCTCCATCACGCAGCAGAAGCCCTGCCAGCTGGGCAGGACAGCAGGTCCTTCTATTTCAGCACTTGAAAAAGAAGAGAGGGAGGTGAGCCACAGCCTCCCATCTCCATGGCAGAGCCAGATTTAATTAAAAGAAAAAAAAAGAAAAAAAAAAAAAAAAAAAAAAAAATGGAAAAAAGAGCCAAAGAGTCTTGTAGAAGGTTAAAAGTGGGACTGGTTTGGCCAGATGATCCATCCCTCGCAGCCAGCTGGAGGCAGCGCGGGGCATGCTCACCCCAAGAGGAGTCAGGCTGTACCAGAGCAAACTGACATCAGACAGGAGAAATGTCCTTTGATTATCTTCTATGGAGCAGAGGAAGTCGTAGCATTGAGGATTGCATCGAGACAGGACCAAGCTGAGCTGTAAGGCAAGAAAATGCTGTTAGACATACCTTTATGTTGGATACTAGGAAAAATCTCATCTCTGAAAGAGCGGTCAGGCACTGGCACTATGGCCCAGGGAGGTGGTGGTGTCACCATCCCTGGAGGTGTTCAAGAAACACAGAGATGTGGCACTGATGGACGTGGTCAGAGGGCAATACTGGTAGTAGATGGATGGTTGGATTGGAAGATCTTAGGGGTCTTTTGCAACCTTAATGATTCTATGATTCTGTTCTGCCACCGGAAATACTCTGGGCTGTATCATGCTTAACAGTGAAAGGCAGCTTTATTCCACCCAGCTGATGCCAGGCAGTGTGAAGGAGGTGCTCCCACCAGCCTTCCCGACCCAGTAAGCAATCAGCAGGTTTCCTCCCAAGCCCAAGAAAGCCATTCAAGCACAGAGCACGTTCCCCCAGCAGCCGCAGCTCTCCACCCAGGACCATCTGCAACCATATCAAGTTCCTGCAGCTCTTGATGCACTCCGCATGCGACAGCTGGTGCTGCTGAGGGAAAATGACTTCTCTGCCATGTGATGGATGGCTCCTCCGTGCCGATACGCTCCCTGCTGCTCCCAGTTTTGGAGCGATTGTAGATGAAGTGGGGCAGAAGGGTAGGATCCCCAAGTGGTCGACCTGCCCTCCTCCTCCTCAACCAGCCCTAGGGCAGCTTGACCCTCTGGAAGCCTCTCAGCTCAGCTGCTTCCCAATCCATCATGAACCCAGACAACTTCTTCAAGCAGTATGCTTTTCTCCAGGTTTTCTGCTCTAGCCTTTCTGCTGGCAAAGAAAGCAAATCTATCTTTCCCTGTGCTTTTACTTTGTTATACAGCAAGGGGGAAGCCAAGCACAAGTCTTGCTAGTTACACAGTCTCCTGCATACAGAGCTCTGAAGGAGACTCAGGAAAAAAAAAAATGCGTGACAAAGAAGGCAAGTAAATTAAAAGCCAGCTTCCTTTTACTGCCTCATAGGCATCTCCACCTTCCCATCCCAGCTCACAGATACCAGCGCAGCCATTTGCCGTGGAAGCTGGCATCCAAGCAGTCCCTAAGACCCACATCACAGCAGGTTTTAGAGAGATGCTGAGATAGTAGTAAGAGTGATTTCAGGAGCATAGACCTGAGGTTACAGGGCACAAGCCTGCCTCTAACTCTCAGAACAGATGGAAAGCTTTCCTGATGCATGCAGGTAATCCTATATTGCTTGCTCCATGAACCTCCACGCCCACTGCAGCAGCATCTCGTGCAGTTCACAGCAAATCCCAAACCAGACCCCACTCCAACCCAAGCAGGAAGCTGCATTTTTCCATGATGCAGAATCTGTAGGGTAAGGAGGCACTAAGAGCTGATCAGTAGCTGGGAAGTTCATCGCTCTGCCTATTTAGTATTCCCAACACAAGCCTGAGCAGTTCAGCCTCATAATTCTGGCTTAGCAATGCAGCTAGACCACGGCTCATCTTGTGATACAGGCTGCCTGCAGGACCACAACCTGAGATGCATGAAATCATTCCATATTCAATCCTTACACCAGGTGAATGTACTAGAACACATTGCTGTAGATAAAAATCACCCTAGAAATTACTAATCGGAATAGAATTGCACCGCTGTAGGTACACACCTCTTCAACTGAGGAATATGGTTTCCTGAGCCAGAAAACTCTAGAATATCTACAAAGATACCTGGAAGGAAGAGCACATATATGATGGAGTGAGCTCTCAGTCTTCCCTGGAGCCAGTGTGGACTTGTTTCCAAGAGCAGCTCTTAGAATAGAACAAATCCTAACCCTAGCCCTGTGCCTAAGGCATGAAGCTGATAAGCTGCTGGGAATGCCCAACAGTTGTCACCCCAGCTTGCCCAAATCCCTTTGAGCCCCCTTGCCAAAATGCTGGGAGGTTTCTCATTCTACAGCTGGAACAAATGCATTGGCTGGGAACAGTGCAACATTTGCTGGGCACTGCCTACACCATGACCACCACAGCCAATGCTCGGGAGGACAGCTCACCCATTCTCCAATGCTTTCATTTTCCCCTCCTTCCCCTCTTTTTTTGGGGGAAAAATCATCCTTCTCCCTGCCTTTTCACCAATAACTTTAGCAGGTACAGTGTCTACTAGGTACTGATGAACTTCCCAGCCCATTGCTGGTAGCAACACTGCAAGATCAAAGGAAACACCTGGCATTCAAACAGAACTACCCATTGTGCACGTCTGAGAGTTTTATTTTGAGGTAGGCTACCTTCACTGTCAGTATCACAGTGCAAGCTCCTATCTCAGGGGGGGGGGATTGCTTAGGCTGCAATTTCCCTAACCAGAGTGGAAAGCATGCAATAGCCCCTGTGGGCAACCCTGACATCCTTCTTTCTCATCTTCCTTATTCAGGATGCTCAGTCATATCCTGCACTGGGGATTAAGAGACACTGATTTATGCCTCATTTCATAGCAAAACTCAGCAACTCTGCACTGACCAAGAGCCAGAACAGAGTCAGATTTCTTTCTGGGGGATGCCAAAGAGTCATGGCTGAAGCAGAGTGCTTGGTGTTACCCAGACTTGCTGAGGAGGAGAAAGAGGAGAACCAGGACTAGTTTTCTCCTGCTTTCCTCAACAGGAAATCTGCACAGCGCTCAGCAGAAAGCGGTTGGCAGCACTAGGGGAACACTGCTCCAGGGAGCTGGAAAAACAGATATTTGTCCACTCCAGGAGCAACACAGCTTTGGCTTAAAGGGGTTCCAGATGCAATTCCCACTGGAGGTTAGACCCAATCCAGCAAGACCAAAGGAAGCACCTTCCTCTTCCACTGAAGATTCATTTCATTGTCAAGAGAAAACTAATTTTTTCCTCAAAGGCTGATGAGTGCAGATAAAGGAGGTTACCACTGTGCTCAACACCGCAAACACCCAAATTATGATTACGACAAAGCACTTTTTTACCAGATAAGCACAGCCTTAAGTCCTGCCTTACACAATGGGGATCCCTATCTGCCTGCTAAAAACCAAAGCCATTATCAGCTTTAACTCAAGTGACACTGTAAGTTTAAGGCTGTTCTGCTGTATGCAACACCATATCAGAATATTAGTAGCTGCAACCTGGAAAGCTCCAAGGTACTTCCAATTTATGCCTCTGAAGAAAGTTTCAGAGCTTTAACATCTTAGAACTGCTCCATTTCTCCTAATGCTTTGCTCCAGATCATGCTAGGACTTGCCAAGATGAAAACATCAAGGGTCCCAAAGTGCCCTCATTGGATTTTACGCTAATGCTAGGAGCAGGAGGGCTTCAGCTTTGACAACACAGCTTCTCCCAGTACATCTCTTGCCCTGGCTCACCATCCTTGAGGCTGACTGAGGCTACCTTGGGAGAATAAGGAAGCCAAGTCTGACGCTTTACTCACACAGTACTGACTCTGTGCTTGTTTTTAGAGAGGAAGAGGAGGCTGTATGTCTGAATACTCCAGGATCTAGTCCATGGCTAAACCCATCTCAACTCTAAGCTTTGTGCTTTCTTCTAGGAGATGACCATGCTGATCACGGTATCATCCTCCATCCAGCCCACTCCCATCCGCCACCATGCATCTCCCCCTCCCACTCTCCCAAAGCCCAAGAAGGACAACCTGCGGCTCCAGCAGCTGCTGAAGAAGGCTGCCAAGAAGAATGCCATGCTAGCTGCAGAGCAAGCTAAGTCTTTCCGATCCAACCTCTCCCCAGTGAATGAGGCCAGCTCTGACCTAGAACGCAGTGAGAACGTTCCCCCAGCAGAGACCCCCAAAGCAGTAGCACCTGGCTCCACCAGCCTCCCAGTGCACCTCTCCATCAAGCCTATAATGCACCATCGTGTGCCTTCCCCTTTCCGCAAGAGCAAGCCCTTTGTGTTGAAGGTCACTGAGCAGAGACGCATTGCTGAGCACCTCAGGCTCACCACCCCCACAGCTGAGTCCCCACTGCATGAGCCAGGTGCTCCCAAGGCTCCCCAGAAGCTTGAAGGCACAGATGCACACCTTCCCTCTTCACACAACACTTCAGTACTTATTTCCCCCCATCCTCCTCTTTCCAGCACACCCAGCAAGGAAGGGACATCAGAGGCTACCTATATCACCAAGGTGCACACTTATTTCCGCAGTGTCAAGGCACCGAGAACCAAGACACCAACATCATATCAGACCCAAGCAACATCCAGCCATGAAGACAAAAGGCCTTCTTCTCCATCACCTGAAACAAGTGGCTCTGAACCATTCCCAGGGCAGACATCTGCCCCCCTTGACAGCAGCAAGGCACCACCTCCTACACTGCAGCCTGCTCTCCCTCCTGCTGCAAAGGCAGAGATTCCTAACCAAGCTCCCAGGCCCACCTCTCCTGAAGAGACTAGCAACGACCCTTCACCCAAGCCTAGCACCCCTGATGTCCACTCCTGTAAAGTTACAGCCCACGGAAGTGAAGCAGAAATATTCAGATCAGAGAAAGTTCCTGAATTGCACAGACAAGATGGTGATATGCTTAAACCATTGACACCCAGCACACCTTGGAAGCCAGAACACCCTGAAACAGCAAGCCCTGCACAAGCTGGGCCTACCCCCAATGACATGAAGGTGGAACACACTGTGCAACCTCAGCCAACTCCCAGCTTGCTGAACACCAGCCCTCCTCTCAAAGCCAAGCCAACACCAGTGGAAGACTCGAGGCCTTTGGGAGCCAAGGGCAGTGGCTGGCATCGTCTCAGGAAGCACCTGATATTGCAGCCAGAAGCACCCAGCTTCCCTGAGCTTGAAGCAGAAAAACAAAGACAGGAGGAAGGGAACAAGGAAAAGGACAGCTCTCTAAGCATCAGTCAAGACAACAGACCATTTAAATCTAGAGCCATGAAGATGTGGGATGCCATTTTATACCAGATGACAGTCAACAAGGAGAGGAAGCAGCAAGCAGAAGAGAAGAAAGCACAGAAGGAAGAAGGCTTCTTTCTTCCCCGCCGTTTACCCATCTTTCTCTATAAGCCACGTTTCGATGCCCGGAAACTGAGAGAGCTGGCTGCCAAACCCATGTCAAAGATCACCACTGTGTTTGAGGTAGGCCGGTATGGATCCAGGACAGACAAGGAACATGCCAAGAGCTTTAACAGAACAGCATCAGGATGGTCAGTCAACTGACGCCAAGTTACTTCAGGAGACCTACCACTCCAGAGGGTCCTACAGGGCACCATGCAAGAGAGCACCTGCTACTAGGTAGTCTGCCTGGCAGAGCCAAGTGTAAGGAAAAAATAAAATAAAAGTAAACCACCTCCAAGCCAGCAGCCTCATGCTGAGAATTTAAGGGTTACTCTCTATATAAGCTTATATGCTTTACATACCACATCCACATGCCACAAACCAAAGAATCAGACACACGTTTTCAAAAGAACTGATAACAAAACACTAAGCAGTAATAAAGAGCAGGGAGGGATGAGACAGCAAAGACAATCTGCCTATGGAAAAAGCCCCATTTAGAGTAAGGTGATAGAACCTGAAGGTGGGAATGCATCTCTTCACCCAAAGCAGAGGCAAGGGATTGCATAAGATCTAATCCGTTCTGCTTTCACACAGCCATTCCCCCACTGAAGGGGTTGGGCCAATCTAGTAAGTCATAGCACACCAAGACTAACATTTTTCTAGAAAAGAAGTTCTGCCATATATTTTATTTGTTTTTTAGTACAGGTGGGATTATGTTTTCCTTGAAAGCCTGCTTCAGCGTGTGAGCATCAGCCCCAGTTACTTACTAGCGTGCTGTTTTCTGGGGGAATCCAATAGGTCCAAGTAGTCTCACTCTGCTGTAGGGCAGAATTATGACATTATGGCATACTTATTAGTGCCTGGTGTCTTGAAAAATAATTGCTTAAAACAAAATCCCTGACACCAGCCATTCACAGAAACAACTGTCCCTTCCAGCATTAGTCACCTCTTCACATCTGGACATCACCAGACTTATAAGCAAGAAAGCTGGTGGCCAGCTATTTCTGTCTCTCAGGAGACTTTGTCATTTGCTGGGATGTTCCTACACAGCTGATATAGGACTGCTATGTTTAGCCCCATAGGAAATTGGATATGTAACTCTTTACATTCTCTCCCCATACAGAGGATATGGAGCTGAGTGAAACTTCCCCAAGCTGAACTGTATATAGACTTAGGGGTAAGGGGAGGGGGAAGATCCTTTTTCCATTTTGAAAACTTCTACTGCTATCAGAAGAACTATTATAACCAACCCTTCATGGAAGTTTCAGCTTTGTTGGTCTAATCCTATTTTTTTTTTTTTTTTATTTCCAAAAATCTTCTCTATTCCAAGGGGAAAAAAAAAATAGAAGAGAAAGCCCAAGTGTCTAGAGTTCAGATTTCTCCTCCAACTCCAGTTCAACAAGAAAATGTTGAAATAAGGTAATTTGGAAATACCTCAGCAATGACAAGGGGATCCCAAATTCAGACCATTGCAGGATAATTTGACATGCTGCAACACAAAGTTACAGAGAAGGATCCACAGGAACAGATATTCAAATAGACTGCAGCTTAAAACACATGACATGCTTAATGTTAAGGTAGATAAAGATGCCATTATCACACAGTGATAAAATGGCACTTTGTAGTAGCACAAATAGATGGATAACTATGCTCAAGTCTGCACTTACAAGCAAAAAAAAAAAAAAAAGCAACAATCTGATTATTATTGAGAATTAACTGATTTTGGCCAAAGAAGATGGTTTTGGAAGCAGTTGCATTTTAACCCACTTTGTTCCTCAATGACAATGACCTGGAACAATCCATGCGAAGAGGAGAGGTTTATGTCTTGCATCTGCTGTGTCCACATTCCAACCCCAAAGGGATGGAAGACAGAGAACTGCTGCTGGGGAGAGAAATGGAGAAGAAGCACAGGAAGGCAGAACTGACTCTAGTTCAGCCCCTAGGAAAAAAAGGCAGAGGCACAGAGCAGGTACAGAGAGTCCTGCAGAGACAGACCTTGGCACCAGAGCATTGCAGACAAGAGAACAGATGCCCAGAGGCAATGGGAGATCACCTTCAGCTTCAGATGAGAAGCCTTCATAGCTTGTCCCAGCCTGAGCTGCTGTGCAGTGTCCAACAGACTCAGGCAGATGGTAAGAGCCTAAAATGCCACTTAGAAAAAGCCTCTTGGTCTGCAGCCTGCACAGAGGAGATGCAGCTAAGGGTGGGAGAGGAGAGAAAAAGTTGTACGTATGTGTAAGTTGATGAGGTGGTGCTGAGTGGGGGATGTGGGTGCAAGCCAGAGGGTTTGGGAGCAGAAAAGCAAGTACAAATGGACGGTACAGTAAGGAAAGGGGAAGGACATCATCATGAGGGAGAGGAAGTGGGGAGCAGGAACCTCTCAGCAAGAGAAATAGACAGCTAAACGTGTCATTAAAGCAGATTTCTGGAAGCCACAGGCAGAGAAGTTGAAGATGCAAGTCCTGTTGGCTCCTTCTTCCTTATGTCTAAAATTGTAGCTGCATTCAAGCTTGGGTTTGTACTGCTGCTCACCGCAAGGCAGCATTCAGGAGACCTCTCCTAAGCAGGCACCACAGAAAAAAAAATACAAAGCAAACAGTCAGAGCTCAGCTCCTTGAACAGGGAAAAAAAAAAAAAAGTAGCTCAATGCCCAGAAGAACTCAGAAACAAAGGTGTTTTGTAGCAGACTGAGCTATTTATAAGCTTGGCTATGAAATAAAACTTTTTTTATATTAGAAAGAAAGAATGAGCTTGTTTTCACCCGAACAACATCCCCTCTGCTCAGTGCCAGATGCTGCCCAGTTGAATCCAGCTAGCTATTTCCTCTCTCTATTCCATTTCTCCTTACTGCCACAACCCTATATTTCAATCACTCCAGATAACACCAGGATATCTATTAACACAAACATGATATGACCATGATCTCCAAAGACCATTTTAAGAAGCCACAGACCCAGCATTGACTCTCCCTATTGCCACACATCCAAGGACGGCCCTTTCTATTCTGTTGATCCACCCATCAGAGCAGATGCTCCCATCCTCCCCACCACAACCCTTCTGTGGACTGGTTCCAAGAGGTCACTGAAATAGTTACAATTTTTTTTTCCCCTTAATTAATTCAGTATATCAGGGAATTAAACCCCCAAAGCATTTAAATTTCAGGATTAAATCAGCCCTCACGCTCAGCCAGAGTGACTTCCAGTTACGAGCTTCTCTTTGCAAGATAAAACCATATGAAAACAGCAGAGAGACTGCTCCTTTGAACCAGCAAATATAAACAGCTTGTCCTGCAAATTAAACTAATGTAGGTATCCAACAACCTAGAAGTATCAGAAATGAGAAAACAAACCAACACCCCACTGTGTTCCTCCCAGCCCCAAGCCAGGCAATAGCCCAGAAGCAAGGCTCCAGCTGTTATTGTACCTTACCTTCCAAGTTGCCCCAATTTTAGCTGGCAGAAATATCCCCAACATCCCGCCAAAGCAGCACAAGGAGTTTGTTGCAAGGTCATAATCTACCTACCTGGTTAATGGGTTCTCCAGGCATGCTACTGCTCTGCAGCATCATCTATCAATACCTTCTTGTACTGGCCATGGCCCATCGCAACAAACTTGTACTTCTTGCCAGAAGGAGTGGACTGAACAAGAGAGAAAGAAACAGCCAGTCTGCAATTTTCTCCAAGCAGTCAATACCAAATAATTGAAGCCAGAGGAAAATGCAATAATTGCCTGTAATCCCAAAGGGCTTGGAGGCAGTTGGGCTCTGCAGAGTTGGTTTCACACATGGCAAAAGCCAATTGCATTGACTGCATCCTGGCAGCACTGCAGATCCAAGAACAGGCAAAATGCTTTGATCTTCTCTCAGCCTGGACAACTTGAGCAGTAGCTGCTTACTTCATTTTAACTGCCATTCCCACAAGCATACCAGTAGGCACAAGACCCCAGATCCATCTACAACTGTTGATACTATCTTATGCCTTACTGTGGATGTTTTTCTTTACTCTCAGGATCAAGTATAATGAGAGCAAAGTAACTTGTGCTTGCAGCTCAACTTTGACCTAGAAGGCCAGGGCTACCAACTCATTGAGAACAATGAGGCATTGAAGAGACCTGTCGGTATTACTTGTTATAATAGGATTCTTGCCCCCAATTTCACTAGGATTGGAGCTGTAAGAGCTTTTCCAAATCTTTTATGTGCAATTGCATTGATAGATACAGGCAGCCCTTGCCTTTCTGCTACATCACTGCCTCCTCAATGCTTTCAGCCCAGCTCAGAGCCCTTACTATGTTGTGAAAAAGAAAAGGACTTCTGCCCTCACACAGATATGAACTTACTTTGATATTGGTCTCAGGTTTGGGACCACCTTTCTGTTCCCAAAGGCTTCTTATATTCACAATGTCTCCAGCCACGATATCCTGAGAAGGATATACAAAGTTCTCATTACCCTTCACCATCAGTGCTGCTGGACAGGACTTCATTCAACCCCACACATCTGACCTCCTTTTATATTTGAAGTATTACACTGTCTGAGCTACAGCAGCTGCAGCTAAAACTCAAGACTTTGAAAACTTCTTCCTGATAGCAATATATCCTGTGTTTTCTTCTCTTAGTCTCTTCAACAAGAGCCTGGATCAGAGAACCAACATGTTTATTTTCTTAAGTTTGTTAATTATTTCAGACATGTTAACATCAAGGCATTTTTACTCAGAAGGAATTTTACTCTCATAAACGCAGATTTACAACCCATGCATTACAGAACCACACGTGCTTACAGCAACCAAAAAACAAAAGTTATTACGAGCAGCACATAATATCTTCAGCAATTTCCAAATTTACAAGATTTATCACCTTGGTGATAGACCCAACTTCGCACTAAAAAAGGAGTTCATTCTTAAATTCTGCAGAATAGATGTACAGTTTTTTCCATTTACTCCCACTTCAAAGCTGAGCCTCAATCAGCATCCAGGAAGCTTTCCTAGCTGCACTACTGAGAAATGATTCAGGACACTAGCTGAGATTTTTGCCCTGCATAAAGCAGTGCACATCCTGCCAGCACCTTACCTTGCAGGCTGGGGTCTTCACTGCAGATTGGGCAGCAACCTCTCCGGTCTCCCATAGGCTTTTTGTGCTGGCTACCATCATGCTGGTGGTGGGAAGGTCAAGAGAGGGCTGTCGGACAGGCTTTGGTGCCTTTGTAGATGTCTAGAGTAGAGATGGAAAACTATCATCAGTGAACTTAGCAGCCCTAACCATGTGTTGTTTCCCCCCTACCCCAGTTGGTGTTGCCCAGGAATAAGGAGTTGCAAAAGGAGACCTAAAGGGTCTTGCTGATTTGATTCCCACCCAATAGGCAGGAGACATGAGGAAAAGGTCAGGGCCATTCACAAAATGAACCTTTATGCTCTTGAGGGAGGCAGAGACAGGGAAAACAACTGCCCCCACCCAAGGGGATATGGTTCTATTGTCACAATCCTGGATTGTGAGACTAAGAGCTGTGGTAGGAGAGCAACACCTTGCAAATGGAGCTCAACAGAGCATGGGGATAGATAGCACAGCAGCTCACCTCAATGGCTTGCGTGTATTGCTCCAGTCTGTCATCTATCTTTGACACAGGCAGGGGAGGCTGGGACTTCTTTATGCTGTTACTGGATACAAGAGAAAAAAGGATAAGGCAATATCCTGAAGCTTCGGGCAGATGGGAGAGCTTCAAGAGCTTGAAGCAAGGGGTCCCCTTCACACCGATCCCACAGCAACCCTGGAGATACCTTTTCTTTATTGAGCGGTTCAGAGACTCAGTTCTGTCTGTGATCTGAAGTAGAAGAGAAAAGACACAGATATTACTTATCTCTGTGGGCCTCATATGGATGATATGGGTTACCTTGGCTGATCATACTGCAGCCATTCTTTCCCATCCCTCCCTCAAACAGAAGCAGGGCTCAAATGCCTCTGTTTCATATTTACATAGTGCTCAGAGAAACAGCGAGCATCCTATTTCCTTCTCTTTCCCAAGGCAGGCCCGAAGAACCCCAACCAGAAGAACCTGAACACAGTAGCAGACCAATCAATTTTGGGTACAAAGCAGCAGCACACAGCTTGACTGATAGTTGAGACAACCCTACTCATGGACTACATATCTTTCTCAGACACTTAGTTTTCTTGCCAAACAAGAGAGAAAGTGAAAAGCACAAAAAGATGGAGGGAAACTAGAAGCACTGCCAACAACTGCTGCAGCAATGAAGCCAAGCATAAGAGCAGCACCGCCATGAGTTATGCTGGCTTATCCACAGCCACACAGACAGGCTATTTAGCACGTTGAGCCACCTCCAAAGCAACTCTTCAGGTCAAGGCTTCAGGGAAGAGAGCTTTGCAGAAGAATCTACTGTGCAATAACTCTTTGACCAAGGCAGGAAGGCAAGCAGTGTCAATCACTGGCACTGAATAAAGGAGGAGGCTGAAGCATTGCTAAACCTCTCAGCTTTTTTTTTTCTTTGAGCCTCAGAAAGCAAGAAAACAGAGATATTAACACTTTCAAATCAAAAGGTAGCTCCTACAAAGACAAGTTGCAGCAACCAAGTGACAAGGATCCTCCCTCTGTATACCACTGCCTGTAGCATGGGAAGCATCACCTTCCCAGTTGCAGATAAATAGCAGTGCTAAGCGCTCACTTTAGGGTGCTTTCAGAATGCTAAATTTCAGAGTGTTAAATTTTAACTAAGTAGAAGACAAAACACTGTCATAGGAAGGATGCTTAATGGCTGTGCCAAGATTTCATGGCCCACTAAAGAACAGCACCATCATCAATTAATAGCACAGTCCTTGCTAATAGAGATGCACTAAGCACAACAGCCAGACAGATCCCATCAGTCGAAAGTTTCTTGCAGTTAAGTTGTCAGCTCAGCATTGGAGGAGTTGGTGCTTGCCTCCAAGCCAGGACGTCAGAGATTGGGCTGCCCACTCTTGCAGCAAGAGTTGTGCTTTTCTGTTTCAAAGCACACTCTGAAGGCCAGAAGAACTCACACAAGTTCACTCAGCCAACCCCAGAACTCAGCTCACAAAAGCCCAGGACAAAATGGGACTGGTACAAGGCTTTCCAACTGCTCTTTCCATCCCTTGGAAAGATCCCAAGCTCATTTTTCCTGAATGGCTTAGCTTTCAGCTTTGCATATGGGTGACCTCTGGCATCACTGTTATATGAAAACAAATAAACAAACAAAGCCACAGCAATTGGATTTCTGGACTTTTCCCTGGGCTAATCCTAGCAACAGCAGTTAGCTCAGGTCAGAAAGCTGTGTGTGCTTTGGAGTAGCAACAACAAGAATTTCAGTGCATAAAAAGTGCTAGGAGTGTTTATCATATTTCCCCACTCTTTGGAACCACTTTGGTCTCACCCCCAGTGACATTAGCACTGGGTCTGCATCCAGAACCACCCTTTCTTCCCTCTTTTTATTTGATTTTAAAGGTCTTCTCCATAAACAACAAGATCCTGGCTGACATAGACATCTTCCACTTAATTTCTATTTACTGTTGCGAGAGGAAGTGCTTATACAATCCTCTCTGCACGGGAAATATTGACTAAGAAACAAGCAGCATAGATCTGAATGGAAAAAAAATGATAACATCAGCAGCAGATTAATAAGGTACAAATTACCCAGAGTCCTCATGATTTCCCTCTATGCAATTATCAAGGAGCCCAGGGCTTACAGAGACAAAAGACAATTGCTACACAAACAAACCACTTAGGTGTGCCTATTTTATGCAAAAGCACACGCGCTGATCGAAGGATTTGAGCAAAGTGCAACTGAAGTCACATGGAGCAATGCAAGTGGTATTCAGAGTGGAGGCTTTACAAGAGCATCTGTTCACAGAGATGGAATTAGAGAAGGGCAAATATTTCAGAGATAGGAGCCTCACTTTAAGAAGAAGGGTAAATTATACTTCGTTTTATGCTGAGATAGAGAAAACGCATGTTACCATAAGCTTAGGGTCACCTTCCTTGCCACAAACCTTGGTGGAGCACACTGCAGTGTGGTCTGTGCACAGCTCCTCCTCATCCAGGCCGGTGGGGCTTGGGGCCCTCGGGCGTTTTTCTGGGGTTTCTTCTTCTTCATTTCTCCTTCTCTTCTTCTCCTGAGTGCAGAACACAAGCCAGGAAGTGAGACTGGTCACAGTACTTGGGATTCAACAAAACTGATTTTCAAAGCAATGCAAGTCAAGTCAGAGGTGTAACATTGGCCTAAATAAGCTTTAAATTCAGATTTGAGTGCTCCTTCAAAATAGAAGATCTACTCATCACTGACAAAACTGCAGGAGAAACAGTAGCACTATCCATCTGAGCACTGCATGGGTATGACTAACATAGTCCAAGCTCTGAGAGCAGAAACACACTCTCACAAGAGGGAAGAGGTTGCATCAGTGAGCCCAGGAAGGTACTTAAACACAAGCAGCACCATCCCCATGTTATGTCATGGCAGTACATCCACACAGACTCAACACTCAGCAGCAGGAAATGAGCACTGGCACATGCTGCCCAGAGGCCATGGGGTCCTCTTGGGAGTCCTCCAAAAGCCACCAGGACACAGTCCTGGGCACACTGCTCAAACAGGTGTTGGGCTAGAAGTACCCTCCCATATCAACCATTCTGTGATTCTGTATGTAGCCCAGTTGAAAATGTGAACAGCCCAGCTCCTCCTGATCTCACCTCCTGCTTGACTCTTTCTTCCTCCTCCTCGTGCTGCTCTGGGACATGTTCTTCCTCCTGGCACAGCCTCTCTTCCTCCCTAACAACCACATTCTCCTCCTGGACCTCCTCCAGGCCCTCCCGTTCCAGCTGAATCTGCTCCAGTTTGACCTCTGCTTCCCTCACACTGCTGTCCTCTTCTTCATATGACTGTTGTGGAGATCTAGAGGTGGGGGAGAGAGGTCAGAGAACCAAAACATTTTGTTATGAGCCTAGATACACCATTGGTGTCTTCCCAGATGATGGTGCAGTATCATTAAGGTCAGAAAAGACCAATAAAATCATCTAGACCAGCCCCAACCCATCCCCACTGACCACATCCCTCAATGCCACATCTCCACAGTTCTCAAACAACCCCAGAGACGGTGACTCCACCACCTCCCTGGGCAGCCAACTCCAGGGCATGACCACTCTTTCTGAGAAGCAATTATTCCTAACACCCAACCTGAACTTCTTCTGACACAACTTAAGGTCATTCCCTTTCATCCTACCACTGTTAACTGGGAGAAGAGGCCAACCCCAACCTTTCAACAACCTCCCTTTCAGGCTGTTGTAGAGAGTGATCAGGTCCCCTCTGAGCCTCTTCTTCTCCAGACCAAACAACACCATTTCCCTCAGCTGTTACCCATCAGAGCTGTGCTCCAGACCATTCACAGCTTTATTGCCCTTCTCTAGATACCCTCCATGGCCTTGATGACTTTCTTCTAGTGAGGGGCCCAAAACTGAATACAGTTAGGTATCTATTTGTGTATTACGTGTAACTAGATCTTTCTCCAAACCTCAGTATTGCCACTTGAATGAATGACAGCTCTGCTTTACCAAATCAGTCCCAGAGCAACCAGATCTTAACAGAAAAACCAGAGAGGAGCTTTCACAAGAAAGTTCCTACGTGCCCCAGAGGAAGTAGAGAGAACACTCACCTGCACACACTCAAGAAATCAGCTTTGCAAAAACAGAGCAGCTCATGCCTTTGGGAACAGTCAGTGAGAGCACTTAACCCAGAGTCCTCAGTGGCTCAGAGATACACCCCAGGATATTATTACCATCTTTCGGTCTCAGATGGAGAGTAGTTTTCTCCTTCCGTTCATTTCTTAGAAAACTGCCTGTGTTGCAGCAGCGAGGCAAGAGCTGGTTAACAGAGCAGAGGGCTGACTCACTGCTCCTGCCTCAGCAGCCAGCACCAAACATGAAGGAAAGTTCAGGCTATGCTTTTCCACCCACCCCTCTGCAGCAGGGAAGGCAGCTCACAGGACAGCCACCTTCCAGACCTCCTCACTGACCACATTGGAAAAGAGATTGATGCATACACTGGCTCACTGAGCTTGCCACTAATCATCCTCCCACAGCAGTCATCACCAAAGAACAAACTCTAAAGGGCTCATGGTCCAGGTGACTTTTTTTCTTCCAATTGGGATGCCTCAGCCAGCAATGCCTCCAGCTAAAGAGAAAGCTCACAATAAAGACCTAAGACAGTAGAAGTGATGCAGCCTTTAGGATGCCTTTGGCACTCATGCTCGTTTAAGAGGAAAACGAATTTGGGAAACCCTGCCCACAGCACCACTTGTCGCATCATGAGACGTTTCTTATCAGATACCTCCTATCTGCACTTGCGCTCCAAGCTTGTCCTCAGTGAGCCAGGAGGAAGGGTAAAGCTACTGAACAGACTATAAAAAGCACAACCACCAACTGGGGAGCCTACCTTTTGCAAAACCACACTTCCAAGAAACTTAGAGGATCTCAGCCCCTCCAGACAAGAACAGCAGCTTCTCCCTAGGCCTGGGCTCTTTGCAAGGAGGGAGGGAAAGAAGGAGGGGGCTGCAGAAAAGCAGCTGGGGCTGATTGCTAATTGCTCCCACAGCTGTGATAATCAGCACTGCCGTGAGCTGCTCCAGCAGCCCTCCTGGGGCTGAGGCTGGGAAGGTACAGCTTGCAGTGATTGCATCAAGGAAGAGGCAAGATCTATTTACTTGCTCAGAAGTAAATATTAATCTTATGCGTTTTTCTCAATCCCTTGTGTAAAGAAGGGGTTGTGTCATTGCAGAACAAAGCTCCCTATAAAATTGGGTTGCTGGGAGAACTGAGTCACAGAGTTCATGTGCAGATATGTGGTGTCCAAAGCAGGAGATGGGGCAAGAGTTTCATTCACCTCAGGGAGAGGAGAGAGAGGAAGATGGACCCAGTCCTCAGCCTGGTCAGGGACACAGACACCCCTCAGCACTGTTTTCTACTGCTGAAAGAGTTGCTGAGCACAAGGTGGGCTGGGGCCATAACACCCACGATGCTGACATGAGCCAGGAAGCAGCAATAACGTAGAACAGCTTTTTTTTTTTTCAGCTGCCTGGATTATGTTAGGGGCCGATTTGGCCCATGCAGCAGCTCAGGTGGCTTAAATCCGCTGTTGTCACTCCTCCAAACCCCGGTGTCCTGGCCAGCTGCCATTGCTCAGAGCACCGAGCTGAAGCCAAACACCCCAAAGCCTACGTCCATTCCTCCCCAGCAGCTCAAATTGCAGGCAGAGGCCATCCACCCCCATTCCAACCTTTGCTCCAGACCCTGCTCTTAGCTCTCAAGGCATGACCTGGGCTCAGCCACCTCTCATTGGGGTGCTGGGTGGCTCAGCTCTCTGCCTTACCCACCTCTGCTTGCGCTGCTCCAGCTTTTGGGACCAGTCGCTGAACCCCTCGTCCTCTTCCAGTTCTGAGGTCCCAGAGGGCTTAAAATCATAGCTGAAACACAACAAAGAGGAAAATTGAGACGAGAATGGTGTAAAAGGCCTGATCAGCTCAGTGTCACCCCACTGCCTGCCTGGTCTCTGAGACCACAAGTGGGTGAGAAAAGCAGCACATCAAAATGAAGGAGTCCCATGGTTTTATTCTGTACTGCAACTCGTTTAGACTAAAAATGTTTCCGACTTGGTTCCCACTTATCCTGCACTTGTATGCAGCCTCAAACAAAAGAGTTCTGAATTAGGAAGGCAAGAAGACCCAGTGATTGCAACACAGACTCAAGTCCTAGGCTTGTTCCTCAGGTTCCCATAGAGCTCTGAGGACTCTTGCTCCTGGTCTATGAAACAGTGCTGGTCCAGCCTCATCTGAAAGCAGAGAGAGTTGAGAAGGTGAGAATGAGTAGCAGGTATAGCTTTGCAATGAAATGCTCACCGCACTGCAATCTCAAGCACTGACATGATTCTTCTTCACTTGGCTTCATGCTGATGATTCAGAGGTGGGCAGAGCCCAGATTTGTTCAATCTTGCACCCTCCCCAGCCCCTGCAGCTCAAGCTCCGGGCATACTCAGCCAGCTCCTATTGGCTCCAATTGGTTGGGGAACTCCAGAAACACCAAAAGTTGCTTTGCTCCCAGCCTTGGGAGAATGGATAGAAGGGAAAAACCATCTTCCTCCTCTCTAAAGGAGGAAATACGTCCATTCTGCAGCCCTCTGCCCTCTAATCCTGGGAGTGCATTCCTAAGAAGTGATGACATCCCTCCCAGCTTGCAGATGTATGGATGGAGGGAGCAGAAGCCCTCCTGGCTCCCACAGCTGCCAGCATCAGATGCAGCCTGGTCATGCATGGGATTTGTTGTTTTTTCCTCACATTCACAGGGAGAATCACCACCAGGATGGGCTCCTTGATGAGCACCCACATTGCAAGCATCAGCTGGAAGAGGTGATTTCATGGTTATGGGACATGGCATGGTCACATCTTCAGGGAATGGGGATTAGTAGATGAGACCCATGGGTTAGTTTAAAATTCAGGTATTGAAATACACAATAAGCATGATCTTTTCTTTGCCTTTCTGGACTCTTAAGAGGAGTCAAGAGATGCTCAGCATCCTCTAACCCTGATGACTTGAAGTATAGGGCTCTAGTGATGGGGAAGCTTGCCATCCTCAAGCTCCTGAGCAGTGATGATATGCTGATTCAGAACTGGGTTATTTCCCACTGCTTGTGTAAGAGTAGCTTAGGGATCCCCCAGCTGAGTTAACTTTGGTATGGACAGGAAGGGACATCAGTGAGGAAGGGGTTTTCCAAGGACGGGATGTTGGTCCTGATGGACATCGGGATGTTGGCTGTGGGGCCTGGGTGGGACTGCACTGGGGACATCCATCCTGCAGCCTGGTCTGCATTCAGGACCCTGCAAAGCTCAGGTTTGCAAATCCACCATTTTGTTGGTTCTTTCCTTTGTTGTTTGAATGGGGGAAGGGATGAGAGCAGCAATGTGGATGGGATGTGTCCCGGCGCAGGAAGCTCCGAGGGAAGGAGGGGGCCGTGTTTACATGAGAGAGAGCAAAGCTATGGGAAGATTAATGGCAGGCTGACCTCGGCTGTGTGAGCAAGCCCAGGTGGCTGTCAGCAGCTGCAGAGAAACCAGGGGATGGCTGGAGGAACAGGAGTGTCCTTCCCAGGGACACCCAAATTCCAGGGTAAACATGAGGCCAAAGCAGGCACAGCGGTGCTCAGTTAAATTTTGCTGTAGGGTGTATACACATGGGTACTTCTTACTGGTTTTCCTGTGCTGAACCTGCACTCTCCATGCAGGAGCCAGTGCCATTGAAGCCCTCCTCTGCCTGGGACCTCAGCTGTTTCTCGCGCTCCCGCCGCCGCCTCTCTCGTGCTGCTTCCTCCTCATCCTCCACGCTCCACTGTGCCGTCAGCCTGCCAAAACAGAAGGAAAACTCATCTTAATGCTTAAAAATACCCCCCCAAGCTGCTGGGACGCCCCTCCCTGTGAGGTGGAGGCTCACTGCATGAGGGCTCTCAGCATGAGCGCTGGTCCTTGAAGTGGTGGTCCTGTCCCTTGGCACAGTTTCCTCTGTACTTGGCACTGGTGAGGCTGCACCTTGAGTGCTATGTTCAGTGTTCGGTCCCTCACTACAAGAAAGACATCAAGGCCCTTGAGTGTGTCTAGAGAAGGGCAGTAAAGCTATGAAGGGTCTGGAGCATAAGTCTTATGAAAATGTTGATTGGATGTGGCCATGGGCAGCCTGGTCTAATATTAAATGGGGAGGTTGGTGGTCCTGCATGTGGCGGGGGGCGGTTGGAGATTCATGATCCTTGAGGTCCCTTCCAACCCTGACCATTCTGTGATTCTGTGAGAAGCAGTTGAGGGAACTGGCATTGTTCGGTCTGGAAAAGAGGAGGCTCAGGAGAGACATTATTGCTCTCTACAGTGACCTGAAAGAAGGTTGCAGAAAGGTGAGGGTCAGCCTCTTCTCCCTGTTAACAGTAATAGGACAAGACAGAATGACCTTAAGTTGCACCAGAGGAGGTTCAGGTTGGGTATTTGGAAAAAAATCTCTTCTCAGGAAGAGTGGTCAGTTATTGGCATAGGCTGCCCATGGAGAAGGTGGGGTAACCATCCCTAGAGATGTTCAAGAAACATGTAGATGTAGCACTGAGGAACATGACTTAGTGGGCATGGTGCTGACGGGTTGGTGATTGAACTAGATGGCCTTAAATGTCTTTCCAACCTTAATGATTCTACGATTGCCCTGCTGCAGCCCCTTTTCCAAAGGGTAGGATTTCAGGAGCATGCCACACTCTTAGTGGAACGGGTGATGTGTGAGCAAGGGTGGGCGCTGCCTCCAGGAGAACCTATCTGCAAGGAAGGGGCATCCTAAAGTACCATTCCCTGCGATGCTGTTTTGCATGCCAGGAAAAGGGGCTGGAAGTTGGTTATGGTAAGCAATATGGGGATACGAGGATATCGCAAGAAATCCCATGGCCCAACCTCACATGTTGGATCTAGGCTCCATGGCCTAGATCTTCTGGAGAAATCCGCACCATGGAGCCATATCCCTAACAAGTGAGACAGCCCTCTCTAAATCAGGGCAGGAGCTGTATCCCACCCCGCTTCCTACTCCAGCACGGAGCAGAAACCTGTGCTGGCCTCTCACAGCCTCAGGGTGCCTCTGCCAGCAGGACAGCCGCCCACCCCGAGGAAGCGATAAGGCGGCTGCATTCCAGCTCAGCGATAACACCACTGCACGAGTTGCAGTACCCACGGCCAAAGCTGGTGCCGATGGCTTGCTTACCCATCCACTCTCCCAGCCCCAAGGCAGACTAGGAGGATGTTTCCCCCTGTTCTTGATAGGAATAAAAAGCCCAAAGCCACCCAGACCGCAGCCAGGCCCCCTCCTCGTCCCCCATCGTATTTATTGTTTTCCCCATGGTTCCCATAGAAACCCTTGTTTGTGGGCCTGGCAGGAAGCCACCGTGTTGTTGTTTTATTTTTTGTGTGTATGCATGCATTTTATTTTTTTTTAATATATAAATGAAGTCATTCATTAAACTCTGCCATGATTTCCCTCCCCTGTGTGACAGCTCCAGAGAGCCTCCAGTTCTGGATGGCTCTTAACCCCCTCCCTCCCAAATTGCCCCAGTTACCAGCATCGAAGTCCACATTTCTCCCAGAGTGAATTCAATTTTCATTCAACTCCACACACCCCAGCTCCCCAGAAATCTGTTGCAAGGGGCTGTAGCAACTCGGGGTGTCCTGCCGGAGCCATACACACTTTGCACATCATTTCAGCCTGCAATCCACTGCATTTCCCACTGGGATGTGACTAATTCTCTCCTCATGATCTCACCAGCTCGCTATTCTGTCATTGCATCTTCACAGTGGGCCCAGGACAACACCAGAGTGACTGTTTCATGGAGATGCAGCTTATTGTAGGGCAGGGGAATATCACCCTCATTCCTGCTGCCAGAGGGCAAGCTGACATGTGAGCTGCCCGCAGCCCAAGTGATGCTGCAATGCTGGGTACTGCTCATGTGCAGCAGGCAGAAAACAGGTCCCCACTGAGCCCCTGTTTGCCCTAGGCTCTGAAACGCCACTGAACACCCAAACTCACTTTACTGACAGAATCAGAACCCTTTTTCATGCTCAGACAGGCTGGCAGCAGAGTGATGTTTAATAAGTGATGCTTAGGGGCTCAGTGATCCAGACAGCAAGCAGAGGGAAAATGATTATTCCTGTTCAACTGATCCAGTAGCACAAATATTTGTTTCCAGTAAAAAACAAACAAACAAATGGAAAACAAAACCTTGGCAAAGTAATCAAGTATGGGTCAGCTACAGCAATTTGTTGAACCGCAAATTGACTGCACCCTTTTGGTTTAGAGCAGTCCAAACCTTCATCAGCCCACTCTGAAGTGTGGAGAGGGTCAGCTGTTAAGTTTTCTTTCAAAGAAAGGAAATAGAGAAATTACTATTAAAATTCATAGAATCGTTAAGGTTGGAAAGACCTCTAAGATCATCTAGTCCATCCCACAGCCCATCCTCACCATACCCATCAACTGTGCCCCTCAGTGCCTCATCTCCATGGTTCTTGAACACATCCAGGAATGGTGACTCTGCCACCTTCCTGGGCATCCTGTACCAAAGCTGTAACCATTTCACCTGGCCCAGAACAAGGAAATGGAAAGCTTCAGGCTTGCAAAATGAATGCATGGTGTGCTGCACTCCTGCCTTGAGCCTCCTGCCCATATAAAGGGGTATCATCAGCCCTTCTCCCCAGGGCAAGGCAAGAGCACAAGCTCCTACCAAAGTTTTGTCGCGATCAAAAGCCTCCTTCCTCCCATTCACCCTACATCATATTTGAAACACTCTTTGTGGAAGGGATTATCTCTCACCAGGGAGGTGAGGACATCCTGCAGCTCTAAGGAAGGGCTGAAGAATCCAGTTCTGGGTTTGGTCACATGGCCACAGCTGACTGAACTGCTCTGGGGCTGGCTGCCTGCTTCACAGCCAGCTCTTGACTTCACCTCCAGTCAGACCCCAGCCGAGGGAGTTGTTTTATTTCCACTCATCCTCTTGCATACCTCCTGCAGAACAGATATAGGCAGCCACACTCCTCATGGCCACCAACACCCGCTCCAGACAAGCCAGCATTTCTAGAAAGGACACATTTCCTTTAGGCTATTCCTCATCTGCGCTTGAGGAGCTTATAGCATTCATGTGAGAGAAACTTCTGGCACCGAGCTGTATTTAAGGGAAACAGTGCAGACTTGAGGAGGCTTCTGCATGGCTCATAGCACAGAGGAAGTTTTGCTGGCCCTAAACCAACCTTCAGCACTAAAGCTAATTCCAGAAAGGAAAATAAAATGCCTCCCAGAGGCTTTAGGCACTGCAGACCTGTGCCAGAACGCAGCAATCCTCTACCAGCAAACTCGACATTCCTGTCTCCTGAGCTTGCTGGGTGCTGGGCCAGGACGCTGTTGACTTTGGTCCGGGACTCTGTCACGTAGGCTGCCCTGCATTCTCAGGGGTCATGGGGAGAGATTTAAGAGGAGTCATAGACAATCCTGGCACAGTAGTTGGTATTTCTCAAAGGGCAACCCAATGCAAACCTTACTGCCATCAAGGGTAAAACTCCCATCACCTGTAAAAGTGACAGGGCTAGGATCACACCACCTCTGACAAAATCCCCCACAAGAAACAGGGCTGCATCCCCAGCAGTCAACCCATTGTCCTCTTTGTTGAATTCTAGGGAAAGGGAGAGGAAGAGGCCACCTATGCAAGACCTCTTCCCCTTCCTAAAGAGGATTGTTTGAGTCAGAAGGGACCTTCAAAGGCCATCTAGTCCAACTCCTGTGAGGTGAACAGGGAGGTCTACAGCTATATCATGTTGTTAAGAGCCTGGTCCAAGTCTGGTCCAACTCAGTCCATCACTCTTTTCAGCCTCTTTTGCCTTGCCACAGTGCCAGCTATGACCTCAGTGCCCTACTGTCCATCGTGGAGAGAGAACAGTAGACTCCAAGTAAAACTCTTCCGTTGCCACCCAGCAACAAGCAACAAAAGTAGCTTACCCAACATGAAACAGAACATGGCATAGGACTGTCATCAAGTTCATCCTGCTGACATCAGAGCTGCTTTATTTCATATACATTTATCATCAGCTTATGAAGAGCCAGGTGTGACTGCAAGGGGATCAAAGTGTACTGCTCACTCTTGCCACATGAAATGGAAAAGGACGTCCTCAATGCACAGCCATGATGCTGTGTGCTCAGGTTCTTTCAATTGCTGCAACCCACTAGCTAAAAGTAACGTCCCACCATTCAGCATCTCAGCCCTTCTCAAAGATCTAAGACCCAGTTTATCGCCATGTGGAAGCCTTCAGAAATCTGTCCCCATACCCAAGGACTCACTGTGAAGGTGTTGGGAACTGAGCAGAGGTCCGTTACTGCACTGCCAAGGGATCGCTGCTGAAGAGCAGCAAGCATGGGTAATCTCTATGACACTAGGCAAAACATATCCGATACAGAAATAACCAAGGCAGATGGCAAACAGCAGTTAGGATTCCTGATGGACATGTTTCTGGGGCTAAGATGTAACATGGCTCGATAGCAAAGATTACAGAAGGGCAATAATCTGCCTGGATAAGGATGGGGTCATGGATATCAGTACAATATAAGGCGATGGGAAAGAAATAAAACCAGAAATGGTGATGTCACAGCCTAGAGCTTATTTCAGTGTCATCTCAGGGGATATGGTGATTCCAGCTCTGAGAGATTGCCTTGTCATTTGAAGGCAGACAGCAATGCTGCACGAGCCTCTCCCTCCCATACATTCATGTAATTCCTTGGCTGCATTGCTCCATTCACAGCCCAGGCTACAGAGTTTGAACAAGGAGGGGGTACAGCAAGGGGGGGGAA